CCATCCCGGTAGGAAAGGACATATTCATCTTCTATATCAGCTCTGCTCCACTCTACAACTATAACGGAGATGCCCTTGTCTGGAGCTTGACATGGCAGAGTGACATTCCCTCCAGACTCAGCTGGGATGACTTTCTGGTCTGAAAGCGGGAACAGCATACATGCAGATAGGTTAAAGGGATCAAGTGTTCACTTCTACAGCAGAAAATCACAGTGAGGACCAGAGAGAGAGAGAGAGCACTAGTCTCTGGTTTATAGTGGTTGAATCCTTTAAACCTGACCATCAGACCTGATGCTGACCAAAATCTCCTATACTAAGTACAGAACACAGATGAATGACACTGAGCTCCAAAATAGCTCCTGAAGTCTGCAGTAAAACTAATGTAAAAAATACATATTTCAGGCCAAACGAAGTAGCTTCATGAACCTTAATGAGGACTTGTTTTTTTAGTATGCACTCTAGATATGAGAATGTGTAAAAACAATACAGACAGGAAAGTGTTACGAAGTTTCCTGTCTTTAAACGCCTTTGTGACAGTGTCTTAGAAATATATATATATTTTAAAAAGATATTACCTTTGTTTTCAGCTGTTGTGTGTGAAAAGAGTTGATAAGCACACAGCAGGAAAATCCACACTTGAAATGATCTTCGAGTCATTGTGTGAATGGATTAAAAGCCTCTTGAGGAGTCTTTGTAATGCTGATGCAAAGATGTAGAAGTCAGAGTGCGACTCTATGTTTTGGTATTGTAGTGTTATTAAAGTTCACACACGCTGATCATCAGATGATGTGCTGATTGGTCAAGCCCCGTTTGCCTGAAGCTGCTGATGTTAGTGGGGCGTGGCTTTCATTTTTTGTACGTGTGGTGTGTTTGTGTGTGATGCACTCTGGGTCTTGGATTACATCATACACAGTTCACATTTTATCGCTTGTTGGACGTCGAGTAAACACCGGCGGTGCACGCGCGGAAATAGCGGAAGTGGGAAACTGATGAAGAGTGAGGCTAGGCTAAAGAATACAACCACTCCACACCAATGACTGTAGAAAACACACACGCACACAAAACGTAAACTCGAAGGACTGGAGCTGCTGATCGCTGATCGAACAACTTTAATCTCAGCTGCAGTGGTTTAGTAGAAACCTGCTAATCCCAGACACCACCGTAGAGCTAACAGACGGAGCTAGCTACCGACAGGACAGTAGTTTAGAGGAGTTGGTTATGCTACTGTCTACCGTCGACACAGCGAGGAGTGTACCAGCCGCGGGATCGTAGCCAAACATGGATCCCAAGGCTCTGGTAGTAGTATGGTCAATACCACCCGTTGCTAATGCTATCTCTGAGTCGTTGTATCAGCACGCAGCCGTCATAAACAATCTTCTAAGCATGACTTAGACCAGGTGTCATCAGTGACAGTGAAGGGCCTGCACTGGACCAGACACAGTTTGATAAGTAGATTTGACAACTTTTTAAAATACGTGACACTCTGGCGTGCCAGGAGAACAATGAACAGTACAAATATGCACTGAATGTTCATATTCTTATTACCAAAATGTTGGTATTAATTAAAATCAATACCTCATCTAAAACCAGGGGCGATTTTAGTCAGCAGAAAAGTCAGTTACTTCATTCAAACACTGAAAATCTTTCAAAATCAATAATTAAATGATGGAACTGACCTGTTAAATGAATATGATGTAAATAAATAAGTTTTACTCCATCAGTACATTCATTCATGCAGACTGTGTGAACATGTATCTTCAACACGTTCTCACTCCCAAAGTGTCACATCTTACGCTAGGTGACAAATCGTCAAGATATTACGTTTTCGGCTACCCACCATGTACCTAAATGAGGACCTTGGAAAAATGAGGAAATGTGAGAACCGTCTGGACTCAATCTACACATGGACGTGACAAAACTATGGCAACACCGGTGTTGTGCCAAAGTAGGTATCCCCGACAGAATTTGTTTCCCCTGTGCTGGGAGCACGCAGGAAGTACTGATGTTTTCATTTTGTGAAAAAGTGAAAAATTAGTATCGTTACATTACCATTCAGTTTGAGGGTTACAACAGAAAATTATATATTTATTGCTCACGGGGTATCAGATGAGATTATTTTAATAAACCATTAACATTTTGGCTGATAACTATTTTTATTCTCCTGTAACTTTACTATATAAAGAGCTAAATCCTCCAAAGTTTCAGGAGTAATGCGTCATAATAAGAAGTGTTTGTGAACAAAAAATCAGCAATGTGGGATACTGTTTGTCCGTGATTTACACAAGGGGAACAAATTGTGGCAGGATCAGCCTGATATTATTTGTATCCCACTATAACTTCGTTGTATAACGAGCTAACATCTCAAAAATGTCAGGAGTAGTTAGTCATAATAAGAAGTGTTTGTAAACTAAAAATCAACAATGTGGGATACTATTTGTCCGTGATTTGGACAGTCCAGTGTGTGCTCCCGACGCAGGGGAAACAAATTCTGTCAGGGATACCTAGTTTGGCACGACACCGGCATGTTACGTCTCGGGAGTGAGAATGGGCGTTGAATTAGCAACAGCAAAACATGGAAGAGCTGAGTTTGTGTCTCACAAACAGATTTTAGAGATTTTTACTTTGTTATAAGACTGGTGTAAAAAACCACTGTGACACGTTCACTGACATGTTCTCCTTCTTTCACTTTGCTGTATATAAAGAGAACAGAGAGGCTCTGCTTTGTGCTGATATTCTCCTCCTGTGTGTTTGTGTGTGCAGAGTTTCTACCAGAGCCAAATGTCATCGACTCCTCACTGAAGTCGTCCACCAGTCCAACCACTGGAATCCAGCTGCTGCTCTCTAACTGGTCCACACAGCAGCTCAGACCTGACACATTCACTGTAAACACACTGGTTTATATTCTGTTTGTTCTCCTCATGAAGTTAAGTACAAGCAGAGCTGAGAGTCGTCTGCTTATCAAACAGCTACACATTTTATAGGAACAGGTTTTATGGACAGAAATCTAAAACCTGTGAATCTGAAGTTCAGGAACAGATTTTCCTGCATCTACAGGATGGATCACAAATTACAGTAAAATATTATTTAAAACATCTGCTTCATGACTAAAGTGTTCAGCAGCAAGTTTCCATAAAGAGTAAAGTAAAAAGTGACTCAAATTTCTAAAGCGAGTCAGAACAGACACCATGTTTAAGAAAATCTTTAATGTGCTCATTTAAAGTTTAGAAAAGAATTTAGTACTTTTAATGAATGTGATGTTTGCCTGTAAGCTCTTAAAACTGTCTGTTTCACTGTGCAATGTAATAAACGAAATTAACATGATTTAATTTTTTACATGTGAAGCAGCAGTACAGGTCATTTGTAATCATGTGGTCATGTGGATTTGTTACACACCTTAGTATCATACAAATGCACATTTCAACGTCAAACTGTTATTTTAATAAATGCAAATCATGTTTTTATGTAAACAAAATTATTTGCAGCACTAATAAACTTCCTTTATGTACAATGTGTTTGGTTTTCTCACATGAACTCCTGTGATGCATTTTCCTGACATTAAGCTGACATTAAACACCTCAAAAACACTTCTGTTTTAACATTCATTATTTTTTTAATAATTACTATGACACTGGCCTTGAACTATAATGCTGTATTGTGACACATGAACAATAGACTAAACCAGAACTATTTCTGCAGTATGTAGCCCACTGCACATGCTCATTAGTGTTTGTCTTCACTGAACTTTAAATCATGATATCACATAAAATCACATCACAATTTCACAAACCTCCATGGATTTAAATTCATAACACTGTAATAAGTCTATTGATTTGGTGTGTTTACATTGGAAGATGTGGTAACAGGTGTGAAGGCACCTGACAGCAGCTGATAGTTCAAA